GTCTTTTATGAAGTTCTCAGTTGGCTTCTGTTCTTCAAGCAGAGGTTCTACTTCCTGAAAATGTGTGCATAAAAAAGACAGATGCAACCACCATGTTTTACCTAGGGAATAAAAACCATAGGGAATTAAAACCACACAGCTGGTACTTCAATGTTCTTGAACTTCAGCAGGTTGTGAAGTCTCATTCAGTTGCTGCATCTGCCTTCTAACTTTACAAAAGGCCAAATCTTCTTAATGGAAAAGACCAGATCTTGGTCCTACTGCTACAGTCCCTTTTTAGCTGCATTCTTAGCCTTTCCAAGGTTAACTCTTTCCACTCAGAAGCTTTAAGTTTTTTTTCTCTGAACTAGATCTTAATGCCGCTTTTGAGTTCAACATTCTTTCAAGCATGTCTTGATTTTTATCCACTGAATTGTCAGCACATTACTTATTCTTTCAAAGTTTGCTTTTTACAGACCAAGGCAGTGAATAAATCATGGATTTACCTAGAATATTAAAACTGTGTTCTAAATCTTTGAGTTAAATCACTTCCAATGTGCATATTTATACTAAATGTATACTTATCTCCTTAAAGATCTGCAAGACCAATAACCCAATGATTTCAGTTCCAGTTCTGCAAGGTATACCTCCTTAACACATAGCAAAAAGAGCCCTTTATCTTCAAAAAGTTTCAAAATAACTGATTTTATCTTTATATTCTGTCTCATACTGGAGAATTCCAGCTGCCTTTTCTTTACATTTATAGCCAAGCTTGCCTATCTCCTATGCTAAAGTAATCTGCTTGAGAATTGGCCATCACACGTTGCAATTTCATCTGAACAGGTCCAAACTTTCCACAGAAACTAGAGTATAACACCTAGCGAAGAGTAAATTGCTGACAAAACGCAGACAACAAATAGCTGTGGGAATATATAAAGAACATATTGGAGGCAGAATACAAAGTGTTTTCAAGAAATGGAAAGTCTACATGTAATGCTAGATATTATACCCAAGTCTTTTCTTTAAATAGCTTACATTTTAGTATCACTTTTTGTGTATTTTTATACTCAAATTCAAATGGATCTGCTATACAATGAAAAAAAAAACAAACCAAAAAACAACGTTACAGGAGAAGAGGGAAAGACTGAGGAATAGTTCTTAAGCATTGCTTTCTCTCTGCAGATTAGCTTTGTGCTGAAGCTGACAGTTTCAGTGAAAGAAGTCATGTCTCTAATATGCTTCCACTCCCAGCAGGCTTTTGACATTAACTTAAAAAGAATTTAGATAAATGTAAAACCAAAGAGGAAAAATTAAAATAAAACACCTGATTTACTTTTACATTATTCCAGGTGGACAACAGTTTAATTCTGTTAATGTCAACAGAGCTAGAAATGGACAAAATTGGACTAATGAAGTGTTGAATCTGGTCTCTCAAAACATATCACATAAAAATTACACAACAATAACATAACATATCTTCTCTTCTAAAACAATGACTTATATAGACTTTTAATTACCTGTTCATGGGTGTTTTGAAGTGCAGTTGCTACAAGGTAGTCTCTCTTCACTGTGAAATGTATTTGACCTTTAGTCTTGTACACTGGTGAAGGTACTGAACTGTCTTAGATTTTGATATCAGAAAACAGTTTGATGTAGTTCCTAGTCTTCACTGAGATTAGAGGTCTTCATATAGAGGTACTTGGCATTGCAGAATTTGTTACTTTCATGAACATTTAGACAAATAACAATAACTCACAATACACTTCTAGCATTTTTTGAAAAAAAAAATCTTTCTAGAAAACAGTTTGGTGTGCTTGGAATTAGGACAAACACCATTATTTTAAAAAGAAAAGATTCTCCAAGCAGCTTAACAGCCAAGAAATCTGACTTGGCTTATCAGTAGTAGTGCCCAGGAACAAACAGAAGAACTGCAGCAACAGGATTTCTGATTTTCAAATGTGGTGACCATTGTCTCATCCTTTGGAAAACAATATTCTCAGCAGTATAGAGGACTGTACCCTCTTATATCTCAACAGTCACAGTTTACACTTCTCTGTGCCAAATAATTTAAGAAAAGTTCAATGGCTATTTCAGCCAGGAGCTCTGGCATGATGGCCTTCATACCACTGGTATTCTGGCAGAGGTCCCTACCCCACAGAACACAGTCAAGAGATGGGGATTACAGCTGAGCCCCAAACCAAACTGCTAGCTCCTGTGGAAAAAACAGCAGCTGTATAAAGGAGTTCAAGTCACTGTAGACAACCAGCTGAGGAGAATGTCTACTGTTCTACATGTTACTACAAGAAAAAAAATAAAATTAAATAGTCTTTGTTTAAAATGGGATATTGACAAATGTAATCTTCTACCCATCCTTTGTATATATGAGATCTCTGGCAGTTACGGACCCTCTC